ATACTCATAAAAAATTTAAATACTTTTAATACTGTTATACAATAGGCCTTATACTTATGCCGAAGTAACCTTTTGACAGTCTTGTACATTGTTGCTCTTTTTGGATAATGATTAATTGTATAATCCATGAAGTTCATTCATACTAAAAGAATATTGAACCAATTACATATTAAGGTATCCTAAATAATGTTGCTACAACATTGAAACATTTTCACTTAGTTGAAATACAATAAAACTGTATCTCTTATTTTAAATAGTATTATTAAATTAACTTTATATTTTATTGGAGTAATTGAAAATATCAACTACGTATAGAGATGTTAAAATGTAACTTTCAAAAGAATTTTTTAACCTAAATAATGAAAACCTTTTGGAGACAGTCTTTTGAAAAAAGTATTGATAATTCTATGATGAACAGGACGTGATAAAAAATATGAATTTAAACATCCCGCATAAACACAGCTACATATGATTTCTTGGAGTTAAAAACAAAATATGTAACCTTTTCTCGCACTGTCTGTGACTGTACCTTTTTTCTGTTCCACTAATTGTCTTGTCGCCGCAAAATTGCATTTCCACGGAATACATACAGACAATTCATATATTATTTATATATCATATTCGAGTTTTGGATAGAATTGAAAATTTTTTCACATAACATTTACAAAAATCGAATATCGCAATCAAGTTTTACCGAAAATATCAACCGACTGCGTCACCGGCACAATCGCACGATATACATACATAGCGGTGATAGGTTAACGAACATCTATGTATGGAATTTATCTGCTTTAACCACCGTTGAGATTATGTATCTTCTTTAATGTAGGTAACATACCATCGAAATTTTTATTTTATACTAATGTATGTATGTATTTCGTAATAATTTTCGTTTTGATCTGAGAATACGGTCCAACATTGAATCTGTAAATATTTTGAGTCATGTGTAATGCTGTAAGTTTACCCAAATCCACAGCCCTATTACAGCTCTACTGTTGTAATATTTCCACTTTTATGTGCAGTTTTGTTATTGTTATTATATGTGTAATACATTTTAGATATTTAACAAAGAATCATGCATACGTTTTCTTGCTGTCCGTTTTTTGTATCATCTTCTTGTTTACAACCGTGGTTATGCTCTTAATGATTGCGGCTCTCCGTTGCCAATCGATACTGATCGTTTTATACTGTACTTTCATTACTATGTGGTGCTTGTATTATTGAAATTACACGATCTTTTTTTTTTGTAATTATTTAACAAAGAAGTGTTTGTTAGTTAAACAATTTTAATTATATATAAATTGTTACTTTATTTCTTATAGGAGATTATTCCCATTATGGTTCCTATAAACACTGGGAAAATAGAACTGGACAATAAAATCAACGAATGGTTAAAATGGAACAAGGTTTAAAAATTTCTTAATAAATTGTTTAGTATAACTGTAGCAATTTCATGTATTATCTGATAACTAATCTTGGGTAATACAATCTAATACAATCTAATAAATTCCATTGAGATTATTATTTTAAAGCAAACTATTGAGCTTATTTTAAATATAGTCTAATTATTGAGAAAGCTATGAATAAACTTCTGGTGGTTAAAGTATTAGTTATAAAATTTACTTATAATTGATCACTTTTTAGGATCCGAAAGCTAGTCATGAGGTTGAAGAACTTGTCGAAGGGAATAACATTGAGATCTTGTCAAATTTATTCTTGGAAAGACTCAAATTTGGCACAGCTGGATTAAGAGGTCACATGGGTCCAGGATATAATCAGATGAATGATTTAGTTATAGTTCAAACTGGGCAAGGTCTATCAAATTATTTACTAAATGCTGTATCTAATGCATCGGAAAAAGGAGTGATAATAGGATACGATGGACGTCATTGCAGCAAAAGGTTCATAAAAATTTTAATCATAACATCATTAATTAATTACGCTATTATCATTTATTGTTCTAGGTTTGCAGAATTGACTGCTACAATTTTTATAGCAAAACATGTAAAAGTATATCTCTTTTCAAAAGTTGTTCCAACTCCTTTCATACCTTACGGTGTGTTAAAATATAAATGTGCAGCAGGAATAATGGTTACAGCTTCCCATAACCCTAAGAATGACAATGGTTATAAAGTTTATTGGGAAAACGGTGCACAAATTATTTCACCACATGATGAAAAAATTCAAAAGTACATACTTGAAAATCTTGAACCGATCGAATCTTCTTGGGATGTAACAAAAGTATATGTCAGTCCATTATATAAAGATCCATGGAGTGACATTATGCAGTTGTATTTTCATGGCCTCAAACAAACAGTTTTATATCCTGAAGTAAATAGAAACACAATATTAAAATTTACATATACACCCATGCATGGAGTTGGATATGAGTACATGAGTGCAGCGTTCGATGCTGCAAATTTAAAGGTGTCTTTAATTTATTCAATTCATAAAACATAAAAATAAAATGAAATAAAAAGATAAAGGTAATAAAAGAAGTTTTGTTTCTATTATCACAGCCATTTGTAATAGTCGAAGAGCAAAAGTTACCTGATCCAGAATTTTCAACTGTAAAATTTCCAAATCCTGAAGAAGGGGAAAGTGCTTTGGAGCTCAGTATAAAAACAGCGAATGAAAATTCTTCTTCTATCATAATTGCTAATGATCCTGATGCAGATAGATTAGCTTGTGCGACAAAAATGAAAACGTATGTAACATGGATGATATATCAATTTCAATTTCTCTTATTTGAAATTATTTTAGATTTAAAAATCTACATATTTTTATTACAGCGGAGAATGGCATATTTTTTCGGGTAATGAATTGGGAGCGTTATTAGGATGGTGGATGATGCATACATATCGGGTGCAACATCCTGACACAGATTTCTCTAATGTATATATGCTCGCGTCAACGGTATCAAGTAAAATTTTAGCTGCGATGGCAAAACAGGAAGGCTTTAATTTTGAGGTGGGTATACCTTTAAACACTACATGTATAGTTGTCTTTACTCTTTTTCACTACTGTAACTTTCCTATGTTTCAAAAGGAAACTTTAACAGGTTTCAAGTGGATGGGCAATAGAACTGTAGAACTAGAGAAAACTGATAAAACAGTAATATTTGCATACGAAGAAGCAATTGGTTTCATGTGCGGTTCTAATGTACTGGATAAAGATGGTATAAGTGCTGGAATGTGCATAGCAGAATTGGCAGCTTATCTTGAGACAATAGGTTTTACTCTTTATGAAAAATTATATGATATATATGCTCAGTAAGTCTCGTTGCAGATGTTCAGTTAAATACTTATTCAGTTTCTGTGACTTCACATTCTTTAAAAAAATTCTTATATACATGTTTATTTTAGATATGGATATCACATTTCTGAGAATTCATATTGGATTTGTCATGAGCCAAATACTATTAAAGCAATATTTGAAAGATTACGAAATTACGCTGAAAAACCAAATACGGTAAGAAATATGTGTATATTGTATAAAAATACACTTATAGATTAAACAAGACTTAATAATTAATTTCATATTATCATAATACTATATTCTTTTTTTTATTACTTTATATTATTTGTAATTATT